GGGATGGGAGCTCCATGGAGCCATTCCCGATGGGATAACCCCGTGGTTGGGATGGGAGCTCCATGGGGCCATTCCCGATGGGATAACCCCGTGGTTGGGATGGGAGCTCCATGGGGCCATTCCCGATGGGATAACCCCGTGGTTGGGATGGGAGCTCCATGGAGCCATTCTCAATGGGATAACCCCATGGTTGGGATGGGAGCTCCATGGGGCCATTCCCAATGGGATTAACCCATGGTTGGGATGGGAGCTCCATGGAGCCATTCCCGATGGGATAACCCCGTGGTTGGGATGGGAGCTCCATGGAGCCATTCCCGATGGGATAAACCCATGGTTGGGATGGGAGCTCCATGGAGCCATTCCCGATGGGATAACCCCGTGGTTGGGATGGGAGCTCCATGGAGCCATTCCCAATGGGATTAACCCATGGTTGGGATGGGAGCTCCATGGAGCCCTTCCCAATGGGATAACCCCGTGGTTGGGATGGGAGCTCCATGGAACCATTCCCGATGGGATAACCCCTTGGTTGGGATGGGAGCTCCATGGAGCCATTCCCGATGGGATTAACCCATGGTTGGGATGGGAGCTCCATGGAGCCATTCCCGATGGGATAACCCCGTGGTTGGGATGGGAGCTCCATGGAACCATTCCCGATGGGATAAACCCATGGTTGGGATGGGAGCTCCATGGAGCCATTCCCGATGGGATAAACCCATGGTTGGGATGGGAGCTCCATGGAGCCATTCCCAATGGGATTAACCCATGGTTGGGATGGGAGCTCCATGGAGCCATTCCCGATGGGATAAACCCCGTGGTTGGGATGGGAGCTCCATGGAGCCCTTCCCAATGGGATAACCCCGTGGTTGGGATGGGAGCTCCATGGAGCCATTCCGATGGGATAACCCCGTGGTTGGGATGGGAGCTCCATGGGGCCATTCCCGATGGGATAAACCCATGGTTGGGATGGGAGCTCCATGGAGCCATTCCCGATGGGAAAACCCCATGGTTGGGATGGGAGCTCCATGGAGCCATTCCCAATGGGATAACCCCATGGTTGGGATGGGAGCTCCATGGGGCCATTCCCAATGGGATAAACCCGTGGTTGGGATGGGAGCTCCATGGAACCATTCCCGATGGGATAACTCCTTGGTTGGGGTGGGGAGCTCCATGGAGCCATTCCCAATGGGATAACCCCATGGTTGGGATGGGAGCTCCATGGAGCCATTCCCGATGGGATAAACCCATGGTTGGGATGGGAGCTCCATGGAGCCATTCCCAATGGGATTAACCCATGGTTGGGATGGGAGCTCCATGGAGCCCTTCCTAATGGGATAACCCCGTGGTTGGGATGGGAGCTCCATGGAACCATTCCCAATGGGATAACCCCATGGTTGGGATGGGAGCTCCATGGGGCCATTCCCGATGGGATAAACCCATGGTTGGGATGGGAGCTCCATGGAGCCATTCCCGATGGGAAAACCCCATGGTTGGGATGGGAGCTCCATGGAGCCATTCCCGATGCGATAACCCCTTGGTTGGGATGGGAGCTCCATGGAGCCCTTCCCGATGGGATAACCCCTTGGTTGGGATGGGAGCTCCATGGAGCCATTCCCGATGGGATAACCCCATGGTTGGGATGGGAGCTCCATGGAGCCCTTCCCGATGGGAACGCTGGCACCCACCTGCTTGCCCATGGGCTCGGGGTTGGTGACCGTGGTGCTGAAGAAGCCGTCCCACTCGAGGCGCCCGTACAGCCCGGCCCAGTGGTTGTGGCGGTTCCCGGTGTGGGGCAGGCACCAGGGGATGAGGGTGTTGAACTGCCGGTCCGCGGGGTCGCACGGCTTCCCTGGGGGGGGGGGGGGGGGATGGAACAGCACCAAAAGGCACCCGAATCAGCCCCAAACGCACCCGAAACGGCCCCAAATGCACCCAAATCAGCCCAAAATGCACCTCATTCGGACCAAAAGGCACAAATTCAGCCCCAAACGCACCCAAATCAGCCCCCCCCCAATCCATCCCCAACCCCTCCATGTCCACCCCCAAACCCAGGATATTCACCCCAAAACCCCCTTCCTTTCCCCCCAAACTCACCCATTTCAGCCCCAAAATTCCTCTACCTTCATCCCACCCCCCCAATCCGTTCCCAAACCCCCCCAACCCATCCCCAAACGCCCCCAATTCAGCCCCAAAACCCCCTTCCTTTAGCCCCAATCTCAGCCAATTCAGCCCCAAAATTCCTCTACTTTCATCCCCAAAACCCCCAGTCCATCCCCAAACCCCCCCAATCCATCCCAAACCCCATCCAATCCATCCCAAACCCCATCCAATCCATCCCCAAACCCCCTCCTATCTATCCCCAACCCCCCAATCCATCCCAAACCCCCCCAACCCATCCCCAAACCCCCCATAACCCATCCCCAAACCCCCCACAACCCATCCCCAAACCCCCCATAACCCATCCCCAAACCCCCCATAACCCATCCCCAAACCCCCCCATAACCCATCCCCAAACCCCCCCCAATCCATCCCCAAACCCCCCATAACCCATCCCCAAACCCCCCATAACCCATCCCCACATCCACCCCCCCCCCCAAACCCCCACCTTCGGCGCAGGAGCAGACCCCTCGCAGGGCCCCGCTGCTGCTGCGCCCGTTCTTCCTCTCGTGGTGGGTGTAGCGCAGCTTGCGCGTGGTGGTGCCGTCCGAGAGCCGCACCTCGATGTTGGGCAGGTCCCGCCAGTCCGAGCCCGGCGCCAAGGGGATGTGCCTCATCCGGGCCGCCACCAGCGCGCTCATGTCCTGCACGGGCACCGGCAGCCGCTGGATGGAGCCCGGCGCGCCGAGCGGAGCCCGAGGGCCATGGGGACAGCGGGGCGGGCACAGGGGTGATGGGGGAGCGGGTGCAAGGGTGCTGGTGGAGCGGGTGCAAGGGTGCTGATGGAGCACCTACAAGGGTGCTGGTGGAGCACCTACAAGGGTGCTGGTGGAGCACCTACAAGGGTGATGATGGAGCACCTACAAGGGTGCTGATGGAGCGGGTGCAAGGGTGCTGGTGGAGCACCTACAAGGGTGCTGGTGGAGCGGCTCCAAGGGTGCTGATGGAGCGGGTGCAAGGGTGCTGGTGGAGCACCTACAAGGGTGCTGATGGAGCGGGTGCAAGGGTGCTGGTGGAGCACCTACAAGGGTGCTGGTGGAGCGGCTGCAAGGGTGCTGATGGAGCACCTACAAGGGTGCTGATGGAGCGGGTGCAAGGGTGCTGGTGGAGCGGCTGCAAGGGTGCTGATGGAGCACCTACAAGGGTGCTGATGGAGCACCAACAAGGGTGCTGGTGGAGCACCTGCAAGGGTGCTGATGGAGCACCTACAAGGGTGCTGGTGGAGCACCTACAAGGGTGCTGATGGAGCGGGTGCAAGGGTGCTGATGGAGCACCTACAAGGGTGCTGGTGGAGCGGCTGCAAGGGTGCTGATGGAGCACCTACAAGGGTGCTGGTGGAGCAGCTGCAAGGGTGCTGATGGAGCACCAACAAGGGTGCTGGTGGAGCGGGTGCAAGGGTGCTGGTGGAGCAGCTGCAAGGGTGCTGATGGAACACCTACAAGGATGCTGGTGGAGCTGCTGCAAGGGTGCTGATGGAGCAGCTGCAAGGGTGCTGATGGAGCACCTACAAGGGTGCTGGTGGAGCACCTACAAGGGTGCTGATGGAGCACCAACAAGGGTGCTGGTGGAGCACCTACAAGGGTGCTGGTGGAGCACCTACAAGGGTGCTGATGGAGCACCAACAAGGGTGCTGGTGGAGCACCAACAAGGGTGCTGGTGGAGCACCTACAAGGGTGCTGGTGGAGCAGCTGCAAGGGTGCTGATGGAGCACCTACAAGGGTGCTGGTGGAGCGGGTGCAAGGGTGCTGGTGGAGCACCTACAAGGGTGCTGGTGGAGCACCTACAAGGGTGCTGATGGAGCGGCTGCAAGGGTGCTGATGGAGCACCTACAAGGGTGCTGGTGGAGCGGCTGCAAGGGTGCTGGTGGAGCACCTACAAGGGTGCTGGTGGAGCACCTACAAGGGTGCTGATGGAGCAGCTGCAAGGGTGCTGATGGAGCACCTACAAGGGTGCTGATGGAACACCTACAAGGATGCTGGTGGAGCTGCTGCAAGGGTGCTGATGGAGCAGCTGCAAGGGTGCTGATGGAGCACCTACAAGGGTGCTGGTGGAGCACCTACAAGGGTGCTGATGGAGCACCTACAAGGGTGCTGATGGAGTGGCTACAAGGGTGCTGATGGAGCGGCTCCAAGGGTGCTGATGGAGCGGCTCCAAGGGTGCTGGTGGAGCGGCTCCCAAGGGATGGTGGGGATGGAGAGCTCGGAGCAGCTCCCAGTGGCTACACGGATGCTGGAAAGGGACCTTCAGCAGGGATGGGCCAAGGGGGGGATTCAGCTTGCAGGTAAGGAAGCTCTTCCCCAGGAGGTATGGTGGGATCATGGGATGGGCGGCCCAAAGTGGTGGATGCTCCATGAGATCCTCGGTCTAATGTAAGGCATCCCATGGCACGGGGCTGGAACTGGGTGATCTTAGGCTCCTTCCCAACCCAACCCATTCCACGATCCTGGTTTCTCCACGGAGCAGGAGCAGCTCCATCCCTGGGGGTGTTTGACCAAGGCAGGCCTGGGGCCGGTCCCATCCTGCCCTTAACCCCTCCCCGCCATCACCATCACCCCCTTCACCTTGCAGATGTGATCCCTGAGGATGGGCTGATACTGGGAGCCCCGGATCTGCCTCTGGAACCAGGACTGGGGCTCCCCGTTGTAGGAGATCTCCAAGGCCGAGGCCCCATTGCGGATCTCAGGTAGGTCGGACATGGTGTCCCGCACCGTGATGGTGCGGAAGGGCCCCGAATAGGTCCTGCGAGGGGCGGAGGAAGGGCGTCAGGAGCGGCCCGCGCTCAGCACCCACCGGCGGGCGGCGCTCAGCACCCACCGGGTGATGTTGCTGACGAACTTCTTGTCGTCCACCACGACGCTGAGCTGGCAGGCGCGGGGGGCGAAGACGTGCAGGGGCTCGGGGAACATGGGCAGCTTCTCCCCCGGCGCCGCGGCCAGGACGATGGCTCGGCGGCGGGGCTGGGCCACGCCGGACTGCCCGGCCTTGGGGAGCAATGGGAGAGGCCTGTCAGCTTCCATCCATCATCCATCCATCCATCCATCATCCATCCATCATCCATCATCCATCATCCATCCATCATCCATCATCCATCCATCATCCATCCATCCATCATCCATCATCCATCCATCCATCCATCATCCATCCATCATCCATCATCCATCCATCCATCATCCATCCATCATCCGTCATCCATCCGTCATCCATCATCCATCATCCATCCATCCATCATCCATCCATCATCCGTCATCCATCCGTCATCCATCATCCATCATCCATCCATCCATCATCCATCCATCATCAATCATCCATCCATCCATCCATCCATCCATCATCCATCCATCCATTCATCATCCATCCATCCATCATCCATCCGTCATCCATCATCCATCCATCATCCATCCATCCATCATCCATCATCCATCCGTCATCCATCATCCATCCATCCATCCATCATCCATCCATCCATCCATCATCCATCCATCCATCCATCATCCATCCATCCATCCGTCATCCATCATCCATCCATCCATCATCCATCCATCATCCATCCATCCATCATCCATCCATCCATCATCCATCCATCATCCATCCATCCATCCATCATCCATCCATCATCCATCATCCATCCATCCATCCATCATCCATCCATCATCCATCCATCATCCATCCATCATCCATCCATCCATCATCCATCCATCCATCATCCATCATCCATCCGTCATCCATCATCCATCCATCCATCCATCCATCCATCCATCATCCATCCATCCATCCATCATCCATCCATCATCAATCATCCATCCATCCATCCATCATCCATCCATCCATCCATCATCCATCCATCATCCATCCATCCATCCATCATCCATCCATCATCAATCATCCATCCATCCATCCATCATCCATCCATCCATCCATCATCCATCCATCCATCATCCATCCATCCATCCATCCATCCATCATCCATCCATCATCCATCCATCCATCCATCATCCATCCATCATCCATCATCCATCCATCCATCCATCATCCATCCATCATCCATCCATCCATCATCCATCCATCCATCATCCATCCATCCATCCATCATCCATCCATCCATCCATCATCCATCCATCCATCCATCCCCCCATCATCCATCATCCATCCATCCATCCATCCATCCATCCATCCATCCATCCATCCATCCATCCATCCATCATCCATCCATCCCCCCTGATGGAGCCAAGGAGCTCCTTTGGGATAGGAGGAGCAGAGAAGGGCTCGGATGGAATCGGGGGGAGCACGGTTGGAGGTAAGGAAGCGGTGGGACCTTTCCAACCTGACCCATTCCATGATTCCATGGCTCATCCCCATTAACAACCTGGGGTCAGGTAGGGGGGTTTGGGGATGAATTGGGTGGGTTTGGGGCTGAATGGGGGGGGGGGGGTGGGTGTTGAATTGGGAGGGTTTAGTGATGAATTGGGTGGGTTTGGGGTTGAATTGGTGGGTTTGGGGTTGAATTGGGTGGTTTGGGGTTGAATTGGGTGGGTTTGGGTTGAATTGGGTGGTTTGGGGTTGAATTGGGTGGGTTTGGGGTTGAATTGGGTGGGTTTGGGTTGAATTGGGTGGGTTTGGGGTTGAATTGGGTGGCTTTGGGTTGAATTGGGTGGGTTTGGGTTGAATTGGGTGGTTTGGGGTTGAATTGGGTGGTTTGGGGTTGAATTGGGTGGGTTGAGGTTGAATTGGGTGGTTTGGGGTTGAATTGGGTGGTTTGGGGTTGAATTGGGTGGTTTGGGGTTGAATTGGGTGGGTTTGGGGTTGAATTGGGTGGGTTGAGGTTGAATTGGGTGGTTTGGGGTTGAATTGGGTGGTTTGGGGTTGAATTGGGTGGTTTGAGGTTGAATTGGGTGGTTTGGGGTTGAATTGGGTGGTTTGGGGTTGAATTGGGTGGTTTTGGGTTGAATTGGGTGGTTTGGGGTTGAATTGGGTGGGTTTGGGGTTGAATTGGGTGGTTTGGGGTTGAATTGGGTGGTTTGGGGTTGAATTGGGTGGGTTTGGGTTGAATTGGGTGGGTTTGGGGTTGAATTGGGTGGGTTTGGGTTGAATTGGGTGGGTTTTGGGTTGAATTGGGTGGTTTTGGGTTGAATTGGGCGGTTTGGGGTTGAATTGGGTGGGTTTTGGATTGAATTGGGTGGGTTTGAGGTTGAATTGGGTGGTTTGGGGTTGAATTGGGCGGTTTGGGGTTGAATTGGGTGGGTTTGGGGTTGAATTGGGTGGGTTTGGGTTGAATTGGGTGGTTTGGGGTTGAATTGGGTGGGTTTGGGGTTGAATTGGGTGGGTTTGGGTTGAATTGGGTGGGTTTGGGGTTGAATTGGGTGGCTTTGGGTTGAATTGGGTGGGTTTGGGTTGAATTGGGTGGTTTGGGGTTGAATTGGGTGGTTTGGGGTTGAATTGGGTGGGTTGAGGTTGAATTGGGTGGTTTGGGGTTGCATTGGGTGGTTTGGGGTTGAATTGGGTGGTTTGGGGTTGAATTGGGTGCAGGTTTGGGGTTGAATTGGGTGGGTTGAGGTTGAATTGGGTGGTTTGGGGTTGAATTGGGTGGTTTGGGGTTGAATTGGGTGGTTTGGGGTTGAATTGGGTGGGTTTTGGGTTGAATTGGGTGGTTTTGGGTTGAATTGGGCGGTTTGGGGTTGCATTGGGTGGGTTTTGGAATTGAATGGGTGGTTTAAGGTGAAATGGGTGTTGGGTTGAATTGGGTGGTTTGAGGTTGAATTGGGTGGTTTGGGTAGAATTGGGTGGTTTGGGTTGAATTTGGGTGGTTTGGGTTGAATTGGGTGGTTTTTGGGGTTGAATTGGGTGGTTTGGGGTTGAATTGGTGTTTTGGGTTGAATTGGGTGGTTTGGGTTGAATTGGGTGATTTTGGGTTGAATTGGGTGGGTTTGGTGCTTGAAGGGGGGTCCCCAGCCCACCTGCAGCACCCCGAAGGTGCACTGATAGCCCATGCGGACGAGGCAGCGCAGGGTTAGCTTCAGCACCATGGAGCGCTTGCAGGACACGAGTTCCGGACGTTCTCCAGCAGGAAGAAGCGCGGGCGGTAATAATCACAGTAACTGGGGGGGGGGACACGGGGTAAGGAACCAATTCAGCCCCAAACCCACCCAATTCAACCTCAAACCCACCCAATCCATCCCAACCCCTCCATTCAACCCCAACCCCCACCCAATTCAGCCCCAAACCCACCCAATTCAACCCCAAACCCACCCAATCCATCCCAACCCCTCCATTCAACCCCAACCCCCACCCAATTCAGCCCCAAACCCACCCAATCCATCCCAACCCCCCCATACAAACCCAAACCCACCCAATCCATCCCAACCCCCCCATTCAACCCCAACACCCCCCCAGTTCAGTCCCAACCCCCCCCCCACTCATCCCAACCTCCCTCAGTCCATCCCAACCCCCCCAATCCATCCCCAACTCCCCCAATCCATCCCCAGCTCCCCCAATCCATCCCCAACCCCTCCAATCCATCCCAAGCCCATCCCCAACACCCCCCAATCCATCCCCAACGCCCCCCAATCCATCCCAACCCCATCCCCAATGCCCCCAATCCATCCCCAATGCCCCCAATCCATCCCCAACCCCCCAAAACCCCCCCAATCCATCCCCAACGCCCCCCAATACATCCCAACCCCATCCCCAATGCCCCCAATCCATCCCCAAGCCCCCCAATCCATCCCCAACCCCCCTCCAATCCATCCCCAACACCCCCAATCCATCCCCAACCCCCCAAAACCCCTCCAATCCATCCCCCAACCCCTCCCAACCCCCCAATCCATCCCCAACCCCCCCAATCCCAACCCCCCTCCAATCCATCCCCACCCCCGCAATCCATCCCCCAACCCCCCCAAATCCATCCCCAGCCCTCCAATCCATCCCCAACCCCCCCCAATCCATCCCAACCCTATCCCCAACCCCCCCAATCCATCCCCAACCCCCCTCCAATCCATCCCCAACCCCCCAATCCATCCCAACCCCATCCCCAATGCCCCCAATCCATCCCCAATGCCCCCAATCCATCCCCAACCCCCCAAACCCCCCCCAATCCATCCCCACCCCCCCAATCCATCCCCAACCCCCCCAAATCCATCCCAAGCCCACCCCCAACCCCCCTCCAATCCATCCACAACCCCCCCAATCCATCCCAAGCCCATCCCCAAACCCTCCCCTCCCCAATCCACCCCCCCCATCCCATCCCATCCCATCCCATCCCATCCCACGCCCTCCCCACCTGAGGAAGGACACCACCAGGGAGTTCTTGAACTTGGAGTAGGTGCGGGAGTTGAAGCGGTTCATGCCGCTGAAGCCCTGGCAGGGGGGGCCCCCGCAGAGCATCTCCACGTCCCCCTTCTGCGGCAGCTTCTGCCCCAGGGCGTTGCTCCTCTCGCCGCCCATCACCAGCTTGAGGAGGACGTTGCAGTCCTCGGTGAACACGGTGCTGCCGGGGTTGTTGAGCCGGAACGCCTGCGCCGCCGGCTCCCACATCTCGATGGCCCACAGCGTCTCCGAGACGCCTGGGAAGGGAGCAGGGAATGGGAGCAACGGGAAGGAGCGTTGGGAAGGGCGGGGGGGGGGGAGCCTCAGCCCTAGCCCCGAGGGCCTCGGGGTTGGCCTGGTCCTATCCTCAGCAGCCTCTTGGGGTAAACTCTTCCCCATCTCCATCGCTGCTTGAGGCTGCTTCCTCTCATCCCATCCCTTGGTCCTTAGGAGCAGAGCCCAATTCCCACCTCTCCATCGCTGCTTGAGGCTGCTTCCTCTTATCCCATCCCTTGGTCCTTGGGAGCAGAGCCCAATTCCCACCTCTCCATCCCATTCCAATCCCAAGCATCCTCTTGGGATAAACTCTTCCCCATCTCCATCGCTGCTTGAGGCTGCTTCCTCTTATCCCATCCCTTGGTCCTTGGGAGCAGAGCCCAATTCCCACCTCTCCATCACTGCTTGATGCTGTTTCCTCTCATCCCATCCCTTGTTCCTTGGAGAACAGCCCAATTCCCACCTCTCCATCACTGCTTGAGGCTGCTTCCTCTCATCCCACCCCTTGGTCCGTAGGAGCAGAGCCCAATTCCCACTTCTCTATCCCATTCCAATCCCAAGCATCCTCTTGGGATAAACTCTTCCCAATCTCCACCGCTGCTTGAGGCTGCTTCCTCTTATCCCATCCCTTGGTCCTTAGGAGCAGAGCCCAATTCCCACCTCTCCATCACTGCTTGAGGCTGTTTCCTCTCATCCCACCCCTTGTTCCTTGGAGAACAGCCCAATTCCCACCTCTCCATCACTGCTTGAGGCTGCTTCCTCTCATCCCACCCCTTGGTCCGTAGGAGCAGAGCCCAATTCCCACTTCTCTATCCCATTCCAATCCCAAGCATCCTCTTGGGATAAACTCTTCCCAATCTCCACCGCTGCTTGAAGCTGCTTCCTCTCATCCCACCCCTTGTTCCTTGGAGAACAGCCCAATTCCCACCTCTCCATCACTGCTTGAGGCTGCTTCCTCTCATCCCATCCCTTGTTCCTTGGAGAACAGCCCAATTCCCACCTCTCCATCCCCCCCTCCCTCCTCGGGAGCAGATCCCGACGCCCCCCCTCCATCCCTCCCTGCTCACCTGCCTGGTGGAAGCCCTCGGACAAGCCCCCGCAGCCCGAGAACACGTCCAAGGTCCTCAGCTTGGGTGGCTTCAGCTGGGGGGGCTCCGGCTCGCTCTGCTCGCAGCTCGACGTCGCCTTCCCCTTGCCTTTGCCTGCACCACAAACCCCGCTCGCATCCCCTCTGCTTCCTCCTCCTCCTCCTCCTCCTCTGAGCTTCAAGCCCCTTTCCCACCCCACTGAACCCTTTCCCCCCCATCCAACCCTTTTGGAGGCTCAGTCCCGCATCAGAAGGACACGGAGGGGCCGGAGAAGGAGCTGGAGCAGGGCTCAGAGCTCGAGCGTGATGGGGACCCCTCCATCCCTGCATCCCCGCAGCAAGCAGAAGCATCCGGAAGGGTCTCATCCGGCCCAAGCCCCCCTCCCACACAAACTCACCTTTCCCTTTCCCTTTCCCCTTCCCTTTATGGCCGGAATTCCGCGCGTGGTTGGGAGGATCCTCGAAGCTCTTGGTTCTGGCGTTGTAAGCCTGGGGTGGGAAGGGAGGGAAAGGCTTTGGGATGCTCGGATGCAAAGAGCTCTTCCCAACACCCCCCTATGGGAGCTGCGGAAGAGGCGGGGGGTCCCAATCCCATCACCTCAAAAGAGCCAGGAGCCATCCCTTTGTCTCCACAGGGGAGCAACCCCAACCATAGGGATCCAACCCCTCCGCATCCCAGCTCCTCAAGGCCTCACCTCCAGGAAGTAGAAGCGGTCCAGCCCCCCGGCCGAGTAATCCTGGATGCTCTCGGTCAGGTCCTCCCCATAGACCACGGTGCAGCGGCCCTGCACGGCGCGGAACTCCACCGTGGCCTCCTCGTCGCTCCAGTACAAGAGGTTGATGTCGGCGTGGTAACTGCCCTTCATGGACTTGTGCGTGTTCTCCGGTCTATGGATACGGGGTTGGGATGCACGGAGCACCTCAGCCCCATCCCCATCCCACCCGGCCCAGCACCACGGCGCCCTCCTCACCGGTAGAACTTGCAGACCAACAGCTTGATGTCGGCCTCGTTGGCTTTGCCGTTGCTCCGCAGCGGGCAGAAGATCTCCTTGATGCGGCCCACACGGAAAGGCTCCGGCGCGTCCAGGTTGCTGCCCTTGATGTACTCCGAGTACTTGCGGTAGTGCTCCGGGTGCAGCTCCTCGTCCACGGCCTCCTTCTTGGGACGTTTGGCTGGGCTGGCGGGCTTCACGCTGGGGGCAAAGGGGATGGGGAGATGGGCCCCTTGATACCCACTGTGATAGGCCCCCCCCCCAGCACCAAAACCCATCTGACACCCAATGGGATAAGGGGGGAACTGGGCTTAGGGAGGGATGCTTCATCCCCCATCCTGTAACACCCAATGGGATAGGGGGGGAACTGGGCTTAATGAAGGATGCTTCATCCCCTCTCCTCTAACACCCAATGGGATAGGGGACAAACTGGGCTTAGGGAGGGATGCTTCATCCCCCCTCCTCTAACACCCAATGGGATAGGGGGCAAACTAAGCTTAGGAAAGGATGCTTCATCCACCCCCTCTCTAACACCCAATGGGATAAGGGGAGAACTGGGCTTAGGGAGGGATGCTTCATCCACCCCCCCACCCCAAAACCCCTCTAACACCCAATGGGATAAGGGTGAAACTGGGCTTAGGGAGGGATACTTCATCCAACCCCCCCACCCCAAAACCCCTCTAACACCCAATGGGATAAGGGGGGAAACTGGGCTTAGGGAGGGATGCTTCATCCACCCTGCCCCATCACCCAATGGGATAGGGGACAAACTGGGCTTAGGGAGGGATGCTTCATCCGCCGTCCTGTAACACCCAATGGGATAGGAGGGAACTGGGCTTAGGATGCTTCATCTCCCCCCCCCTCCCATGGACCATATCCTCTACCATAAACCCAAGGTGGAAAAGAGCTTGGAGAGCATCACACCCAACCTCTCCCCCAGCACCACCCACGGCACTGAGGCCATGGGTTGGGAACACTTCCATGCTCCAATCCCGACCCCTTCCTTTGGGGAAGGCATCGTTCCCTACATCCCATGGAAAAGCCCCCCCCCCCCCCCCCTTCAAAGAGACCCCCCCAAGCACCAACCTGAAGGAGAAGGCTTCTGGCAGGAGATAGACCCCATCTCCCACCCGGTACTGCACCCCGTTCTTGGTGGCCACGGCGTAGAACATCTTCCCTTCGCCTTCCTCCAACGGCTCGGCCACTTTGGGGATCTCCTTGTGCCTCACCTCCTCCAGACGGGCGCAGCTCATGCAGAACCTACAGGCCAAGAGAGACCACGGTGATGGGCACCCAGGGGGCTCCGCTTCCCAGCTCCAGCTCGATCCCAGAGGATCCCACATTCACTTGTATCTGTTGTCCTCCGTGGGCTGCGTCTTGGGCGGCGACTCGAAGCGCGCGTACTCCTGGTCGTACCACATCTGGTAGAAGTAGGTCCGCCCGTCGTCCTCCACCACCTTGATCTCCATGTCCAGCCCGCCCTGCTAGGAGAAGAGGGATGGGGGGGTGATGACGGGTGCCCCGTTGCCAGCCCCACACCGCTCCCACCGGGCCTCTCACCCACCTCCATGGCCCAGTTGGGCGAGGGGGCCTTGTAGAGGACGTTGACTTTGCCGTGGATGTAGGAGAGCTGCATGTCCTCGCACTCGTCCACCAGGAAGAGCTCCAAGGGGTCGGAGGTGGCCCCCAGGACCGTGTCGGAGCCAGGGCAGAACCAGTGCGCGTGGAACATCTGCCCGCTGCTGTCCTCCCACATGGCCGTCACCCTAAGGGGGGGGGAACAAGGGGATGGGGTCCTAAAGATGCTCCATGGGGAGTCAAATAACAGTGATTGGAGGTCTCCACTTGGGAACATGGCCCCAAAGATGCTCTATGGGGAGTCAAACAGCGGTGATTGGAGGTCTCCACTTGGGAACATGGTCCCAAAGATGCTCCATGGGGAGTCAAACAGCAGTGATTGGAGGTCTCCACTTGGGAACATGGTCCCAAAGATGCTCCATGGGGAGTCAAACAGCAGTGATTGGAGCTCTCCACTTGGGAACATGGCCCCAGAGCAGCTCTCCACTTGGGAACATGGTCCCAAAGATGCTCCATAGGGAGTCAAACAGCGGTGATTGGAGGTCTCCACTTGGGAACATGGTCCCAAAGATGCTCCATGGGGAGTCAAACAGCAGTGGTTGGAGCTCTCCACTTGGGAACATGGTCCCAAAGATGCTCCATGGGGAGTCAAATAGCAGTGATTGGAGCTCTCCACTTGGGAACATGGTCCCAAAGATGCTCCATGGGGAGTCAAACAGCAGTGATTGGAGGTCTCCACTTGGGAACATGGTCCCAAAGATGCTCTATAGGGAGTCAAACAGCAGTGATTGGAGGTCTCCACTTGGGAACATGGTCCCAAAGATGCTCTATAGGGAGTCAAACAACAGTGATTGGAGCTCTCCACTTGGGAACATGGCCCCAAAGATGCTCCATGGGGAGTCAAATAACAGTGATTGGAGCTCTCCACTTGGGAACATGGCCCCAAAGATGTTCCATGGGGAGTCAAATAACAGTGATTGGAGCTCTCCAGTTGGGAACATGGTCCCAAAGATGCTCCATTGGGAGTCAAACAGCAGTGATTGGAGCCCTCCACTTGGGAACATGGCCCCAAAGGGCCTCAAGCAGCAGAGACTGGAGGTCTCCAGTTGGGAACACGATCCCCGAGCAGCAGGACCCATACTCAGCCCCTCCAGCACCAACCTGGCGAGGTAGAGGGGCTTGGTGGGATCATCAGGGCTGACGGAGACGCAGTCTCCCACCTCCAGGGTCTCCAGGTCGATGCACACCCGCTGGTAATAATCCTTCTTCCCATCGCTCTGCACAAGGAAGGGGGGCAACGGCGTCAAACCCAGCTACGGATTCCCCCCCCAAGCCCCCCAACCCCTGCCTTAGGGAAGGGGAGCATCACCTTGATGGGCTCCCCGACCCAGGAGATGCGGCTCTTGTTCTGCTTCTTCTTCCTGCCCTGCAGCATCTTCTTGGGCGACGGCATCTCCGGGATGTTGTCATCCACCTCCTCATCCTCATCCGCTTCCCGCACGGCCAGGTTGGGGCATCTGCGGACACAGGGAGCAGCGCTGCAGCAGGGGATGGATGGGAGCAGGGACCGCATCCCTTCGGAGCAGCACTGCAGCAGGGGATGGATGGGAATGGGGACGGCATCCCTTCGGAGCAGCGTTGCAGCAGGGGATGGATGGGAATGGGGACCGCATCCCTTTAGAGCAGCGTTGCAGCAGGGGATGGATGGGAAAGGGGACTGCATCCCTTCGGAGCAGCGCTGCAGCAGGGGATGGATGGGATCAGGGACTGCATCCCTTCGGAGCAGCGTTGCAGCAGGGGATGGATGGGAGCAGGGACTGCATCCCTTCGGAGCAGCGTTGCAGCAGGGGATGGATGGGAATGGGGACCACATCCCTTTGGAGCAGCGCTGCAGCAGGGGATGGATGGGAACGGGGACTGCATCCCTTCAGAGCAGCGCTGCAGCAGGGGATGGGTGGGAGCAGGGACTGCATCCCTTTGGAGCAGCGCTGCAGCAGGGGATGGATGGGAGCAGGGACCACATCCCTTCGGAGCAGTGTTGCAGCAGGGGATGGATGGGAGCAGGGACTGCATCCCTTTGGAGCAGCGCTGCAGCAGGGGATGGATGGGAATGGGGACCACATCCCTTCGGAGCATCGCTGCAGCAGGGGATGGATGGGAATGGGCACTGCATCCCTTCGGAGCAGTGCTGCAGCAGGGGAAGGAGCAGGGACCGCATCCCTTCGGAGCAGCGCTGCAGCAGGGGATGGATGGGAATGGGGACGGCATCCCTTCAGAGCAGCGCTGCAGCAGGGGATGGATGGGATCAGGGACCGCATCCCTTCGGAGCAGCGCTGCAGCAGGGGATGGATGGGAATGGGCACTGCATCCCTTCGGAGCAGCGCTGCAGCAGGGGATGGATGGGATCAGGGACCGCATCCGCTCGCTCCGGCGGTGGGATCCGGTGCCCTGGCGGGTACCAGCTGGGTACCAACCTCCGCTGCAGGCAGGCCTGTTTGCTGCGGCCGCTGCCCCCGAACTTCACCATGTTCTGGCACGCTTTGCACTTCCCACATTCCGGCTGCTGGCAAACCTGGAGCAAGGTGGGGGGGGGGGGGATGGCAAGGAAAGGACCGGATCAATGCAGGCACCTGAAGGGATGGGGATGCCCCGGGTGGCTCCCGCCGCCGGTACCTCGCAGACGCCGCAGCGCCGGCGCTTGGTGCCGTTCTCTTTGTCCTCCTCCTTCTCGTCCTTCTCGATCTGCTCCGAGAAGAAGGTGTCGAAGATGAGGTAAACCAGGCGCGTGGTGGTGGCTTTGGTGGGCCCCTTGTCCTTGTCTATGCGGGTCGGGTGCCGGATGGCCTGGCGCCGCACGGCTCGCCTGCGACCGGGGGGGGGGGGGGGGGGGGGCACGGCGCTCAGAGCGGGGCACCCCATGGCACCCCATGGCACCCCATGGCACCAGACCCAAGCCATCCTCCCGGCTCAGCCCCAGCAAAAGGGTTTTCCATGAGGATCCCCTGTTTTCCGTAAGGATCCCCCTGTTTCCAATGAGGATCCCCCTGTTTCCAATGAGGATCCCCCTGTTTCCAATGAGGATTCCCCGATTTCCATGAGGATCCCCTGTTTTCCGTAAGGATCCCCCTGTTTCCAATGAGGATCCCCCTGTTTCCAATGAGGATTCCCTGATTTCCAATGAGGATTCCCCGATTTCCATAAGGAACCCCTGTTTTCCGTAAGGATCCCCCTGTTTCCCATGAGGATTCCCTGATTTCCAATGAGGATTCCCTGATATCCATAAGGATCCCCCTGTTTTCCATAAGGATTCCCTGATTTCCACGAGGATTCCCTGTTTTCCATGAGGATTCCCTGATTTCCACGAGGATTCCCTGTTTTCCATGAGGATTCTCTGATTTCCATAGGAATCCCCATTTTCCATAAGGATCCCCTGTTTTCCATAAGGATCCCCCTGTTTTCCATGAGGATTCCCTGATTTCCATGAGGATTCTCTGTTTTCCATGAGAATTCCCTGATTTCCATAGGAATCCCCATTTTCCATAAGGATCCCCCTGTTTTCCATAAGGATTCCCTGATTTCCATAAGAATCCCCCTGTTTTCCATAAGGATCCCGTTTTTCATAAGGATCCCCTGTTTTCCATAAGGATCCCCTGATTTCCATAAGAATCCCCCTGTTTTCCATAAGGATCCCCTGTTTTCCATGAGGATTCCCTGTTTTCCCTAAGAATCCCCCCGTTTTCCATAAGGATCCCCTGATTTCCATAAGAATCCCCCTGTTTTCCATAAGAATCCCCCTGTTTTCCGTAAGAATCCCCATTTTCCATAAGGATCCCTTGTTTTCCATGAGCATCCCGATTTGCATGAGAATCCCATGTTTTCTATAAGGATTCCCTGTTTTCTATAAGGATTCCTTGTTTTCCATAAGAATCCCCCTGTTTTCCCACAAGGATCCCTTTTTTTCCATCAGGATCCCCTTTTCTCCACAAGAATCCCCTTTTTCCCCACAAGAATCCCCCTTTTCCCACACAGATCCCCCTTTTCCCACACGGATCCCCCTTTTCCCACACGGATCCCCCATTTCCCACACAGATCTCCCATTTCCCACACAGATCTCCCATTTCCCACACAGATCCCCCATTTCCCACACAGATCTCCCATTTCCCACACAGATCCCCCTTTTCCCACACGGATCTCCCATTTCCCACACGGATCCCCCTTTTCCCACACAGATCCCCCATTTCCCACACAGATCCCCCTTTTCCCACACGGATCCCCCTTTTCCCACACAGATCCCCCTTTTCCCACACGGATCCCCCTTTTCCCACACAGATCTCCCATTTCCCACACGGATCCCCCTTTTCCCACACAGATCCCCCATTTCCCACACAGATCCCCCTTTTCCCACACAGATCCCCCATTTCCCACACAGATCCCCCTTTTCCCACACGGATCCCCCTTTTCCCACACAGATCCCCCATTTCCCACACGGATCTCCCATTTCCCACACAGATCTCCCATTTCCCACACGGATCCCCCTTTTCCCACACAAATCCCCCTTTTCCCACACGGATCCCCCTTTTCCCACACAGATCCCCCTTTTCCCACACGGATCCCCCATTTCCCACACAGATCCCCCTTTTCCCACACAGATCCCCCATTTCCCACACGGATCTCCCATTTCCCACACAGATCCCCCATTTCCCACACGGATCTCCCATTTCCCACACGGATCCCCCTTTTCCCACACGGATCTCCCATTTCCCACACAAATCCCCCATTTCCCACACAGATCCCCCTTCTCCCACACAGATCCCCCTTTTCCCACACGGATCTCCCATTTCCCACACAGATCCCCCATTTCCCACACGGATCCCCCTTTTCCCACACAAATCCCCCTTTTCCCACACGGATCTCCCATTTCCCACACAGATCCCCCTTTTCCCACACAGATCCCCCTTTTCCCACACGGATCCCCCTTTTCCCACACAGATCTCCCATTTCCCACACGGATCCCCCTTTTCCCACACAGATCCCCCATTTCCCACACAGATCCCCCTTTTCCCACACAGATCCCCCATTTCCCACACAGATCCCCCTTTTCCCACACGGATCCCCCTTTTCCCACACAGATCCCCCATTTCCCACACGGATCTCCCATTTCCCACACAGATCTCCCATTTCCCACACGGATCCCCCTTTTCCCACACAAATCCCCCTTTTCCCACACGGATCCCCCTTTTCCCACACAGATCCCCCTTTTCCCACACGGATCCCCCATTTCCCACACAGATCCCCCTTTTCCCACACAGATCCCCCATTTCCCACACGGATCTCCCATTTCCCACACAGATCCCCCATTTCCCACACGGATCTCCCATTTCCCACACGGATCCCCCTTTTCCCACACGGATCTCCCATTTCCCACACAAATCCCCCATTTCCCACACAGATCCCCCTTCTCCCACACAGATCCCCCATTTCCCACACAGATCCCCCTTTTCCCACACAGATCCCCCTTTTCCCACACGGATCTCCCATTTCCCACACAGATCCCCCATTTCCCACACGGATCCCCCTTTTCCCACACAAATCCCCCTTTTCCCACACGGATCTCCCATTTCCCACACAGATCCCCCTTTTCCCACACAGATCCCCCTTTTCCCACACGGATCTCCCATTTCCCACACAGATCCCCCTTTTCCCACACGTATCCCCCTTTTCCCACACAGATCCCCCATTTCCCACACAGATCCCCCATTTCCCACACAGATCCCCCTTTTCCCACACAAATCCCCCTTTTCTCACACAGATCCCCCATTTCCCACACGGATCCCCCATTTCCCACACGGATCTCCCATTTCCCACACAGATCCCCCTTTTCCCACACAGATCCCCCATTTCCCACACAGATCTCCCATTTCCCACACAGATCCCCCATTTCCCACACGGATCTCCCATTTCCCACACGGATCTCCCATTTCCCACACAGATCTCCCATTTCCCACACAGATCCCCCATTTCCCACACGGATCCCCCATTTCCCACACGGATCTCCCATTTCCCACACAGATCCCCCATTTCCCACACAGATCTCCCATTTCCCACACAGATCCCCCTTTTCCCACACAAATCCCCCTTTTCCCACACGGATCCCCCTTTTCTCACACAGATCCCCCATTTCCCACACAGATCCCCCATTTCCCACACAGATCCCCCATTTCCCACACGGATCTCCCATTTCCCACACGGATCTCCCATTTCCCACACGGATCCCCCATTTCCCACACAGATCCCCCTTTTCCCACACAGATCCCCCATTTCCCACACGGATCCCCCATTTCCCACACAGATCCCCCTTTTCCCACACAAATCCCCCTTTTCCCACACGGATCCCCCATTTCCCACACAGATCCCCCTTTTCCCACACAGATCCCCCTTTTCCCACACAGATCCCCCATTTCCCACACAGATCCCCCATTTCCCACACAAATCCCCCTTTTCCCACACGGATCCCCCTTTTCTCACACAGATCCCCCATTTCCCACACGGATCCCCCATTTCCCACACGGATCTCCCATTTCCCACACAGATCTCCCATTTCCCACACAGATCTCCCATTTCCCACACAGATCCCCCTTTTCCCACACAGATCCCCCTTTTCCCACACAGATCCCCCATTTCCCACACGGATCCCCCATTTCCCACACAGATCCCCCTTTTCCCACACAAATCCCCCTTTTCCCACACGGATCCCCCATTTCCCACACAGATCCCCCTTTTCCCACACAGATCCCCCTTTTCCCACACAGATCCCCCATTTCCCACACAGATCCCCCATTTCCCACACAAATCCCCCTTTTCCCACACGGATCCCCCTTTTCTCACACAGATCCCCCATTTCCCACACGGATCCCCCATTTCCCACACGGATCTCCCATTTCCCACACAGATCTCCCATTTCCCACACAGATCTCCCATTTCCCACACAGATCCTGTTTCCCACACGGATCCCCCTTTTCCCACACAGATCCCCCATTTCCCACACAAATCCCCCTTTTCCCACACGGATTCCCTTTCTTCCAAGAAAATTCCCTCTGCAAAATCCCAGCCACGCTCCTCCCGCCCCACCGCAAAGCCAAGCAGCAGCAGCAGCAGCAGCAGCAGCAGCAACAAGCTCTTCGCTCTCCCCCCGCCCTGGACCTGGGTACCACGGGCTGCAGGCGGAACCGCATCCTCCTCCATCCCATTGCTGATCCCATTGCTGATCCCAGCGCTGATCCCAGCGCTGATCCCATTGCTGATCCCATTGCTGATCCCCGCACTGATCCCATTGCTGATCCCCGCGCTGATCCCATTGCTGATCCCATTACTAACCCCATTACTGACCCCATTACTGACCCCATTACTGACCCCATTACTAACCCCATTACTGACCCCATTACTGACCCCATTACTGACCCCATTACTGACCCCATTACTGACCCCATTACTGACCCCATTACTAACCCCATTACTGACCCCATTACTAACCCCATTACTAACCCCATTACTAACCCCATTACTGACCCCATTACTAACCCCATTACTAACCCCATTACTAACCCCATTACTGACCCCATTACTAACCCCATTACTAACCCCATTACTGACCCCATTACTGACCCCATTACTAACCCCATTACTAACCCCATTACTGACCCCATTACTAACCCCATTACTAACCCCATTACTGACCCCATTACTAACCCCATTCCTGACCCCATTACTAACCCCATTACTAACCCCATTACTAACCCCATTCCTGACCCCATTACTAACCCCATTACTGACCCCATTACTGACCCCATTACTAACCCCATTACTGACCCCATTACTAACCCCATTACTGACCCCATTACTAACCCCATTACTGACCCCATTACTGACCCCATTACTAACCCCATTACTGACCCCATTACTAACCCCATTACTGACCCCATTACTAACCCCATTCCTGACCCCATTACTAACCCCATTACTGACCCCATTACTGACCCCATTACTAACCCCATTACTGACCCCATTACTAACCCCATTACTGACCCCATTACTAACCCCATTACTAACCCCATTACTGACCCCATTACTAACCCCATTACTGACCCCATTACTAACCCCATTACTAACCCCATTACTAACCCCATTACTAACCCCATTACTGACCCCATTCCTGACCCCATTACTGACCCCATTACTGACCCCATTACTGACCCCATTAATAACCCCATTACTGACCCCATTCCTGACCCCATTACTGACCCCATTACTAACCCCATTACTAACCCCATTACTGACCCCATTACTAACCCCATTCCTAACCCCATTACTAACCCCATTACTGACCCCATTACTAACCCCATTACTAACCCCATTACTAACCCCATTCCTGACCCCATTCCTAACCCCATTCCTGACCCCATTACTGACCCCATTACTAACCCCATTACTGACCCCATTACTAACCCCATTCCTGACCCCATTCCTAACCCCATTCCTGACCCCATTACTAACCCCATTACTAACCCCATTACTAACCCCATTACTAACCCCATTACTAACCCCATTCCTGACCCCATTCCTGACCCCATTGCTCCCAGCCCCTCACGGCCAGCAGCGGGGCCCCGGGGCTCACCTCTTGCCCAGCGTGACCCCCGCCAGCTTGATGAGGTCCCGCATGCAGGGCGTGATGAGCACCGGGGGCTCGTCGCTGTCCCCGGCCTCGTCGTAGCTCTCCACTTGCTCCACCACGAACTGGGCATGGCGCAGGAGCGAGTCCTCTGTGAAGCGGTTGAAGTTGAGCCCCGCGGGGGGGACGGTGGTCTGTGAGAATGGGGGGGGTTATAAAATACACCCCAAAAACGACCCCACACCGGCACCGCCAACCCAACGCGGCGCTCACCTCGATCTTGTTGAGCAAATCCTCGTAGGCGACGTCGCGGTTGTTCTGCAGGAACTCCACCACGATCTTGCTCATGTAGATCTTCTCCTGCATGAGGGCGAAGGTGGGAGCGTATTCCTCGCTGGGCTCCATCAGGATGTAATCCGCGAAGGCTGTGGGGCGAGCGATCCCGTGGCTGACGTGGATGCGGGGATGAACAAAACACCTCCCGCATCCCGGAACGCCCAAAGCGGGGAGCCGTGGGGCGCCGAGGGCTGCTTTTCCCTGTCCCCATCACCTCCATTGATGGAAGCAGGGGAGATGCCACCAAAAGGGTTCTTTGCATAAAGGGTGAAGGGGAAAAAGGTTTTGACACCACCCCCCCCCCCCAAAAAAGACCTTCTTCATCCCCATCCTGGCCCCAAAGCCCCATTGGAGACAGGTTTGGTGTGGTCCTACCCCCCCCACCCCGCCACGTCCTCGCTGGTGATGGCAAAGCCCATGGAGCCCCATACGGCTCCTATGGGATACGTGGATGGGGATGGGAGCCCCAAGGCACCGATGCTGCCCCACCTGTGGTGAAGCCGATCAAGGCCTTCTCCCCCCCATCGAAGCCCGTGATCCACCAGGCGTTTATGGGCCCCAGCTTCTTGGCTCTCACCCCACCTGGAAGCAGGAGAACACGCGGTTCCCAATCCAATCCCTCCCACACCAAGGATGCAAGGGCCCATTCCCATTGCAGGGCCCATTCCCATTGCAGGGTCCCATTCCCATTGCAGGGTCCCATTCCCATTCCAAGGGCCCATTCCCATTCCAGGGCCCATTCCCGTTGCAAGGTCCCATCCCCGTTGCAAGGTCCCATCCCCATTGCAGGGTTCCACTCCCATTCCAGGTCCCATTCCCATTCCAGGGTCCCACTCCCATTGCAGGGTCCTACTCCCATTCCAGGCCCCACTCCCACTGCAGGTCCCATTCCCATTCCAAGGTCCCATTCCCATTCCAGGGCCCATTCCCATTCCAGGGCCCATTCCCATTAAAGGTCCATTCCCATTCCAAGGTCCCGTTCTCATTCCAGGTCCCATTCCCATTCCAGGTCCATTCCCATTCCAAGGTCCCATTCCCATTCCAGGTCCATTCCCATTCCAGGTCCATTCCCATTCCAAGGTCCCATTCCCATTCCAAGGTCCCATTCCCATTCCAATCTCCCATTCCCATTCCAGAGCCCATTCCCATTCCAGGTCCCATTCCCATTCCAAGGTCCCATTCTCATTCCAGGTCCATTCCCATTCCAAGGTCCCACTCCCATTCCAAGGTCCCACTCCCATTCCAAGGTCCCATTCTCATCCCAAGCTCCCATTCCCATTCCAGAACCCATTCCAGGGCCCATTCTCATTCCAAATCCCATACTCATTCCAGGTCCCACTCCCATTCCAGGTCCCATTCCCATCCCCATTCCCGATCCCATTCCCATTCCCTCTCCCCGCCCCGCTCACCATCCAAGCAGGGGTTATCATCATAGATGGGCTTCACGGCCCCGCTGAAGTAGAGCTCGATGTTCCTCTCGATGAGGCCGGTGTCGAAGGGGCACAAGTGGCCTCTCTTGTCATAGACGCTGCCCAGGGGGGAAACCAACGCCTTGATCCCATGGGATCCGCGACCCCAAAGGGCTGGGATCCCCCCGTGCCCCACGGATCCCACCTGAAGGAGGTGACTTTGTGCTGCGGGAGGTCCTCGTAGCTCTCAAACCCGTCCTCGTTGGCGTCGAAGAGGGACAAGCGCTCGTCCGTCAGCATCTCCGGCTCCTCCAGCTGGAGCGGGGCGAGAGGAGGAGGAAGAGGAGGACGAGGAAGTCAACGCATCCCGGCGCTGCCCACGCCCGCCCCCAGGAGCCTCCCATCCCTTACGGCATCGTCGGGATCCCCTTGGAAGAACTTGAGGTCGGGATCGTCCAGGTACTGCCGGCAGTCGAGGCACTTGGGGGGGGTGCTCTGCAAGAGGGTCGGGAAGAGGCCAAGGATGCGGCGCGATGCAGGGATGCAGGGATGCAGGGATGCAGGGATGCAGGGGAAGGGGCTCACTTTAGCGGGAGGTGGGGTCTTCACCAGGGCCAGGTCCTCCCTCGCTTCCAAGCTGGCAGTGGAAAAGGGGAACACAACGGGATGAGGAGCCGGAGCGGTGCCGATGGGTACCAATAGGTGTCAATGGGTACCAGTGGGTGCCAATGGGTACCAATGGATGTCAATGGGTACCAGTGGGTGCCAATGGGTACCAATGGATGTCAATGGGTGCCGATGGGTTCCAATGGGTGCCAATGGGTACCAATGGGTGTCAGTGGGTACCAATGGATGCCAATGGGTGCCGATGGGTACCAATGGATGTCAATGGGTACCAGTGGGTGCCAATGGGTACCAATGGATGTCAATGGGTGCCGATGGGTTCCAATGGGTGCCAATGGGTACCAATAGGTGTCAATGGGTACCAGTGGGTGCCAATGGGTGCCGATGGGTACCAATGGATGTCAATGGGTACCAGTGGGTGCCAATGGGTACCAATGGATGTCAATGGGTGCCGATGGGTTCCAATGGGTGCCAATGGGTACCAATGGGTGTCAATGGGTACCAGTGGGTGCCAATGGGTACCAATAAATGTCAATGGGTGCCAATGGGTGTCAATGGGTGCCGATGGGTACCAATGGATGCCAATTGGTACCAATGGGTGCCGATGGGTACCAATGGATGCCAATGGGCTTCAATGGGTGCCAATGGATGTCAATGGGTGCCAATGGGCACCAATAGGTTCCAATGGGTACCAGTGGGTGTCAGTGAGTACCAATGGGTGTCAATGGGTACCAATGGATGCCAGTGGGTGCCAATGGGTACCAATGGGTTCCAATGGGTACCAGTGGGTGTCAATGGGTACCAATGGGTGCCAATGGATGTCAATGGGTGCCAATGGGTACCAATGCGTTCCAATGGGTACCAGAGGGTGTCAATGGGTACCAATGGATGTCAATGGGTGCCAATGGGTGCCAAAGGGTACCAATGGATGCCAGTGGGTGCCAATGGGTACCAATGGGTTCCAATGGGTACCAGTGGGTACCAATGGGTGCCAATGGGTTCCAATGGATACCAATGGATGTCAATGGGTGCCAATGGGTACCAATGGATGCCAATGGGTGCCAATGGGCACCAATGGATGCCAATGGGTACCGATGGGTTCCAATGCGTACCAATGGGTGCCAATAGGTACCAATGGATGCCAATGGGTGCCAGTGGGCACCAATGGATGCCAATGGGTACCAATGAGTGCCAATGGGTACCAATGGGTACCCAGGGACATCCCCATCCTCCTCACCCCTCTTTGGTCTCCATGCGCATCCTCTTCTCCTCCTGGTCCTGCAGAGAGAAGCAAAGGGGAGTGAAGGGGAGCCCGGAGGTGCTGAGCAGGGCCCAGCACCACCCGGCCTTCACCTTCTCCTCCTGCTCCTCTTCCTCCTTCTCCACGCTCATCGCTTCCCCGTTGACCTCCTCCGATTTCCGCTTGGTGGACCTGGAGGGAAGCAGGCGCCGGCAATGGGATGAGCCCCAGGCGCATCCCTACGGAGCTCGGGATCGACCCCATTGGGTCCCAGGGAGGAAGAAGAGGGTGAAGGCGCTGATGGAGGTGAAGGCCCCAACCCTGCTCCCGCACTCACCCCTTGGAGAACAGGCTCAGGAGGCTCAGCTGCCGCCCAGAGCTCCGGGTGACCCGGGAGCTGGCGGGAGACTCTGTTGGGAATACAGCACGGAATCACATCGGCAATGGGGGCCTCCTGCCCTTCCCTTCGCATCCCCCTCCCAGCATCCCATCACCATGAGGCTCCCAAACCCTTCCGTTGGCACCCTGCATCCTTGCGCGCATCCCTGCGCTCCCGCATCCCCGCGCTCCCGCATCCCTATGCGCATCCTTGACCTCCTGCATCCCTGCGCTCCCGCATCCCCGCGCTCCCGCATCCCTATGCGCATCCTTGACCTCCTGCATCCCTGTGTGCATCCCTGTGCTCCCACATCCCTGCCTGCATCCTTGACCTCCTGCATCCCTGCCCGCGTCCTCGCACTTCTGCATCCGTGCCCGCATCCTTGACCTCCTGCATCCCTGCCCGTGTCCTCGCGCTCCCGCATCCCTGCCTGCATCCTTGACCTCCTGCATCCCTGCCTGCATCCTTGACCTCCCGCATCCCTGCCCTCATCCCAGTGCTCCTGCATCTGTGCCCGCATCCACGCGCTCCTGCATACCCGCGCGCTCCTGCATCCCTGCCTGCATCCTTGAGCTCCCGCATCCCTGCGCGCATCCTCGTGCTCCTGCATCCTCACACTCCTGCATCACTGCATGCATCCTTGTGCTACTGCATCCCTGCCCTCATCCCTGCGCTCCCGCATCCTTGAGCTCCCGCATCCCTGCGTGCATCCTCGTGCTACTGCATCTCTGCCTGCATCCTTGACCTCCCGCATCCCTTCCCGCATCCTCACACTCCTGCATCCCCGCGCGCATCCCCACGCTCCCGCATCCCTGCCCTCATCCCTGCGCTCCTGCCTCTCTTCCTGCATCCTCACATTCCCACATCCCTGCATGCATCCCCATGCTCCCGCATCCCTGCCCTCATCCCTGTGCTCCTGCATCCCTTCCTGCATCTTCACACTCCCGCATCCCTGCGTGCATCCTCGTGCTACTGCATCCCTGCCCTCATCCCTGTGCTCCTGCATCCCTTCCTGCATCCTCACACTCCCGCATCCCTGCATGGATCCTTGTGCTATTGCATCCCTGCCCTCATCCCTGTGCTCCTGCATCCCTTCCTGCATCCTCACACTCCCGCATCCCTGCATGGATCCTTGTGCTATTGCATCCCTGCCCTCATCCCTGTGCTCCTGCATCCCTTCCCGCATCCTCGCGCTCCCTCATCCCTGCACTCCTGCATCCCTTCCCGCATCCTCACGCTCCCGCATCCCTGCCCTCATGCCTGTGCTCCTGCATCCCGTCCCGCATCCTCGTGCTCCCGCATCCCTGCCCTCATCCCTGTGCTCCTGCATCCCTTCCCGCATCCTCACGCTCCGGCATCACTGCATGCATCCCCATGCTCCCTCATCCCTGCACTCCTGCATCCCTTCCTGCATCCTCGCGCTCCCGCATCCCTTCCCACATCCTTGAGCTCCCGCATCCCCTCGCTCCCTCCTCGTCCCTCCGGGACAAGCCGGAAAACCCAACTCTTGCTCTCGCCGTTGGAGCGGCTCCTCCTGGGCTTGCGCGGCCGCGCCGGGGCCGCCGAGGAAGAGGAGGCGTTGACGGCGGTGGCGGCGGCGCCTTCCTCCAGCTCCATGGCGCTGTCGTCCTCGCCATCGCCGCCCGCTCGCTCCGAGTCCTCGTCGCTGCCGGAGCCGCCGATGCCGGCGCATCCGTTGGTGCCGTTCTCGGCCGCGAGCTCCTGGTGCAGCAGCGCCTTCACCTCGGCCAGGTACCGCTCCTGCAGGGGCACAGCCACGGCTGCAGCCGGCCGCCGGCGCTCCGCGGCCCCACGGCGCCGCGCCACCCAACCCCACCTCGGAGAGCTCCTCGCGCCGCAGTTTGGCCTCCAGCTCGCTCAGCTCCCGCTGCGCCTCGGCCTGCAGGAAGCCATGGATGAGGCTCAGCTTCTCCCGGACGCTCTCCTGCGGGCACGGAGGGGACGGGATGGGGCCGGCGGCCGAAGCAAAGGGGGGGGGAGGCCCCAGCGCCGCTGGCTCCGAAGGCGGGCGCCGCTCACCCGGCTCATGGGGACCCATCCTGCCAGGAGCCCACGGTGGAGTCCGCACGCCGAGGACCAGCGCCGACGCCGGGTCCGGGAGCTGGGCCAGCAAGGGAGACACGGGGAGGGGGGGAGGCTCACCCGGCCACCCCCCCCCGGAGCCGCATCCCGCTGGAGCATCCCGAACCCGGACGCTGGTACCCGCCGCGCTCCGGCAGCGCTCACCTGCTCGCTCAGCGCATCCTCATCCCGCTCCAGGTCCTGCAGCCTGCCGGGGGACACAGCGGGGTTCGGCACACGCGGCGCCGCCGCGGCCCAACCGTGGAGCCGGGAATGGCGCCGGCAACGCGGGGACGAAGAGGGAATAACGGGGACGGGGGGAGTTGGGAATGGGTGATGCTGCTTGGGACCCACCCCATACAGTGACACACGCCATGGGGGACAAGGCACGTGTCGCTATGGGGGCACAGAGAGGAGGGCCCCATAGGGCCCCATGAGCCAAAGCAATGCCCCAAAGGGCCGCTTCCCTCCGGATCCCTCCCTTCGGCTCCTTTGGCTTCCTGCTCCCACACCAACGGGAAGGAAAAGGGGGGTCCCCACCACCCAAAAAGCAGGAAGGCGACATCCCCATCCCATTCCCATCCCATTCCCATCCCATCCCCATCCCGTCCCCATCCCATTCCCGTCCCGTCCCCATCCCATTCCCATCCCGTCCCCATCCCATTCCCATCCCATTCCCACCCCGCGGCACCTGGGCTTGAGAACGGCCATGGAACGCCAAGGGGAGGTCGGGATGCGCCGCGCAGCCGCCGCACCGGGGAACGGCAGCCGGGGAGCGTGGGGCCCCCCCTTCCCTTCCCTTCCCTTCTTCCCTTCCCTTCCTTCCCCTTCCTTTCCCTTCCCTTCCCGCCGGCCGGGGGATGCCGGGAGCCGAGCGGAAGGGACAATGGCCGGGACCGCGGCGCAGGAAGCGCCAACCCCTTCCCTGTGCCGATGGGAGCCGGGGATCCCTCCGGAGCCGGGATGGGGACGGCGCAACCCCGATCCCAAGGGAACGCTTCCGCTTCCCGCAGCCGAGAAGGGATTCCTGCCCCACACCACCCCCCCCCACACACACACACCCACCCCATGGCAGCGCATGGGAAGTTGGGGTTCCCCTTTGGGGCCCCCCCCAACGCGCCCCGGATGCACGTGGGGACAAAGCCGGGGCCCCAGCGCCACGTGGGGCCTGGTCATAGGGCAGGGGGCTCCCCCCCCAACCCCATATTGGGGGTCAGGGATGAGCCAGGGGGGAGGACCCAAGGTTGAGGTTGGGGGGTGATGGGGGGGTTAGGGCAGGGCTCTATGGGGGTACCAATACAATGCAATGGTGGGGTCAATGCAGTGCAATGGGATCAGTGAAGGGCTCTACATAGGGTACCAATGCAGTGCAATGGGGGGGTTCCATGCACTGCAATAGGGTCAGCGCAGGGCCCTATAGGGGGTACCAATGCTCTGCAATGGGGGTGTCAATGCAGTGCAATGGGATCAGTGCAGGGCTCTACGGGGGGAACCAATGCAGTGCAATGGGGGGGTTCAGTACACTGCAACAGGGTCAGCGCAGTGCCCTATAGGGGGTACCAATGCTCTGCAATGGGGGTGTCAATGCAGTGCAATGGGGGCAGTGCAGGGCTCTACATAGGGTACCAATGCTCTGCAATGGGAGGGTTCCATGCACTGCAATAGGGTCAGCGCAGGGCCCTATAGGGGGTACTAATGCTCTGCAATGGGGGTGTCAATGCAGTGCAATGGGGGCAGTGCAGGGCTCTACGGGGGGGACCAATGCAGTGCAATGGGGGGGTTCCATGCACTGCAATAGGGTCAGCGCAGGGCCCTATAGGGGGTACCACTGCACTGCAATGGGGGTGTCAATGCAGTGCAATGGGATCAGTGAAGGGCTCTACAGGGGGTATCAATGCAGTGCAATGGGGGGGTTCCATGCACTGCAATAGGGTCAGCGCAGGGCCCTATAGGGGGTACCACTGCACTGCAATGGGGGTGTCAATGCAGTGCAATGGGATCAGTGCAGGGCTCTACATAGGGTACCAATGCAGTGCAATAGGGGGGTTCCATGCACTGCAATAGGGTCAGCGCAGTGCCCTATACGGGGTACCAATGCACTGCAAAGGGGGTGTCAATGCAGTGCAATAGGGGCAGTGCAGGGCTCTACACAGGGTACCAATGCAGTGCAATAGGGGGGTTCCATGCACTGCAATAGGGTCAGCGCAGTGCCCTATGGGCGGTACCAATGCACTGCAATAGGGGTGTCAATGCAGTGCAATGGGGGCAGTGCAGGGCTCTACGGGGGGTACCAATGCAGTGCAATGGGAGGGTTCCATGCACTGCAATAGGGTCAGCGCAGTGCCCTATGGGCGGTACCAATGCACTGCAATAGGGGTGTCAATGCAGTGCAATGGGGGCAGTGCAGCGCTCTACGGGGGGTACCAATGCAGTGCAATGGGAGGGTTCCATGCACTGCAATAGTCAGTGCAGTGCCCTATAGGGGGTACCAATGCACTGCAACGGGGGTGTCAATGCACTGCAATGGGATCAGTGAAGGGCTCTACAGGGGGTACCAATGCAGTGCAATGGGGGAGTTCCATGCACTGCAATAGGGTCAGCGCAGTGCCCTATGGGCGGTACCAATGCACTGCAACGGGGGTGTCAATGCAGTGCAATGGCATCAGTGCAGGGCTCTACCGGGGGTATCAATGCAGTGCAATGGGGGGGTTCCATACACTGCAATAGGGTCAGTGCAGTGCCCTATGGGCGGTACCAATGCACTGCAAAGGGGGTGTCAATGCACTGCAATGGGGGCAGTGCATGGCTGTATTGGAAGGTACCAATGCAGTGCTGGGAGGTGGCCATGCACTGCAATGGGATCAGTGCAGGGCAATATTGGGGGTACCAATGCACTACAATGGGGGGGGTCAATGCACTGCAATAGGGTCAGTGGAGTGCCCTATGGGGGGTACCAATGCACTGCAATGACGATGTCAATGCACTGCAATAGGGCCAGTGCAGGGCTGTATTGGGGGGTACCAGTGCACTGCAATGGGGGTGTCAATGCATGCAATAGGGTCAGTGCACAGCTGTATTGGGAGGTACCAATGCAGTGGTGAGAGGTATCAACGCACTGCAACAGAGTCAGTGCAGTGCCATATCGGGGGGGTTCCATGCACTGCAATGGGGGGTTCATGCACTGCAATGGGGTAAGCGCAGTGCCCTATGGGGGGTAACAATGCACTGCAATAGGGGTACCAATGCACTGCAACGGGGTCAGCGCAGTGCCCTATGGGCGGTACCAATGCACTGCAGTGGGGGGGTTCCTGCACTGCAATGGGGTCAGCGCAGTGCCCTATGGGCGGTACCAATGCACTGCAATGGGGGGTCCCTGCACTCACCGTCAGTGCAGTGCCCTATGGGCAGTACCAATGCACTGCAATGGGGGGGTTCCATGCACTGCAACGGGGTCAGCGCAGTGCCCTATGGGCGGTACCAATGCACTGCAGTGGGGGGGTTCCTGCACTGCAACGGGGTCAGCGCAGTGCCCTATGGGCGGTACCAATGCACTCCAGTGGGGGGGTTCCTGCACTGCAACAGGGTGAGCGCAGCGCCCTATGGGCGGTACCAACGCACTGCAATGGGGGGGATCCCTGCACTCACCATCAGCACAGTGCCCTATGGGCGATACCAATGCACTGCAATGGGGGGTTCCATGCACTGCAAGGGGGTCAGCGCAGTGCCCTATGGGCAGTACCAATGCCCTGCAATGGGGGGGTCCATGCACTGCAACGGGGTCAGCGCAGTGCCCTATGGGCGGTACCAACGCACTGCAATGGGGGGGTTCCTGCACTCACCATCAGCACAGTGCCCTATGGGCGGTACCAATGCACTGCAATGGGGGGGTTCCATGCACTGCAAGGGGATCAGCGCAGTGCCCTATGGGCGGTACCAATGCACTGCAATGGGGGGGTTCCTGCACTGCAAGGGGGTCAGCGCAGTGCCCTATGGGCGGTACCAATGCACTGCAATGGGGGGGTTCCTGCACTCACCATCAGCGCAGTGCCCTATGGGCGGTACCAATGCACTGCAATGGGGGGGTTCCTGCACTCACCATCAGTGCAGTGCCCTATGGGCGGTACTAATGCACTGCAATGGGGGGGTTCCATGCACTGCAATGGGGTCAGCGCAGTGCCCTATGGGCGGTACCAATGCACTGCAATGGGGGGGTTCCTGCACTCACCATCAGTGCAGTGCCCTATGGGCGGTACCAATGCACTGCAATGGGGGGGTTCCTCCACTCACCGTCAGTGCAGTGCCCTATGGGCGGTACCAATGCACTGCAATGGGGGGTTCCTGCACTCACCATCAGTGCAGTGCCCTATGGGCGGTACCAATGCACTGCAATGGGGGGGTTCCTGCACTGCAAGGGGGTCAGCGCAGTGCCCTATGGGCGGTACCAATGCACTGCAATGGGGGGGTTCCTGCACTCACCATCAGTGCAGTGCCCTATGGGCGGTACCAATGCACTGCAATGGGGGGGTTCCTGCACTCACCGTCAGTGCAGTGCCCTATGGGCGGTACCAATGCACTGCAATGGGGGGGTTCCTGCACTCACCGTCAGTGCAGTGCCCTATGGGCGGTACCAATGCACTGCAATGGGGGGGTCCTGCACTCACCATCAGCGCAGTGCCCTATGGGCGGTACCAATGCACTGCAATGGGGGGTTCCTGCACTCACCATCAGCGCAGTGCCCTATGGGCGGTACCAATGCACTGCAATGGGGGGTTCCTGCACTCACCATCAGCGCAGTGCCCTATGGGCGGTACCAATGCACTGCAATGGGGGGGTTCCATGCACTGCAAGGGGGTCAGCGCAGTGCCCTATGGGCGGTACCAATGCACTGCAATGGGGGGTTCCTGCACTCACCATCAGCACAGTGCCCTATGGGCGGTACCAATGCACTGCAATGGGGGGTTCCTGCACTCACCATCAGTGCAGTGCCCTATGGGCGGTACCAATGCACTGCAATGGGGGGGTTCCTGCACTCACCGTCGGCGCAGCTCCGCGGGCAGCGGGGCCGGGGGCAGCGTCGCGGCCCGGGCCGGCATCGGGGCGGCGGCGGCGTCGGGAGCGGGCGGCGGGTTCGCGGGAAAACAGCGACGGGGGCGGGGCGGAGCCGGGCGAGACCATGGAGTTGGCGGGAAAGGGGGGGGGGGGGTGAGACCATTCCGCGCGGGAAGGGGGGGGGGGGATGTGGGGGAAATGGGGGACGCAAACACACACACACACAACCCCCCCCCCCGGCCCCCCCCCAAGCACAGAGGGGATGGGGGGGGCCGGGGTCGGTACCGGAGCTCAGCGAGGATCAAACCACTGCGGGGATGGGGGGGGCATGGGATGTACCATTGGAGGGGGGGAAAGGGGGGGCACGGCGCTGAGGGAATGAGGGGGTAACACGGGTCCTATCGGAGCGGGTGTTGGGCTGAACCATTGAGGGGATGGGGGGGTGGGCTGGGCCAATGGGATGAATGGGGGGAATGAGATGTACCACTACGGGAAAAGGGGGGGGAATGGGCTGTACCGCTGTTGGGATGCAGGGAATGGGCTCTACCACTATGGGAAAGGGGGGGGGAATGGGCTGTACCACTGTTGGGCGATTGATGAGGTGGGCTGTACCACTGTTGGATGCAGGGAATGGGCTCTACCATTTTTGGGGGGGGATGGATGGGATGGGCTGTAGCACTATGGGAATGGAGGGGAAATGGGCTGTACCACTGTTGGGATGCAGGGAATGGGCTGTACCACTGTTGAGGGATGGACGGGATGGGCTGTACCACTATGGGAAGGGGGGGGGGAATGGGCTGTACCACTGTTGGGATGCAGGGAATGGGCTCTACCACTGTTGGGGGGGATGGATGGGATGGGCTGTACCACTATGGGAATGGGGGGGAAATGGGCTGTACCACTGTTGGGATGCAGGGAATGGGCTGTACCAATGTTGGGGGATGGATGGGATGGGGTGTACCACTATGGGAAGGGGGGGGGGAATGGGCTGTACCACTGTCGGGATGCAGGGAATGGGCTGTACCACTGTTGGGGGATGGACGGGATGGGCTGTACCACTGCAATGAAGGGGGGAAATGGGTTGTACCACCGGTGGGGCTGGACGGAATGGGCTGTACCACTACAGGGAAGGGGGGGGGGGAACGAGCTGTACCCCTGCGGTGTATAGGGAGCGGGCTGTACCACAGGACCCAGCCCTCCCCCGGACGCGCTGCTCCATAGCACCAATTGGGGGGGGGACCCCCACCATTTGGGACCCCGCCATGGGGCAGCAGAGCCCCGTGGGGCTCCTTCAGGCCCCGCCACCCCCTCGCCCCCCCCCTATGGCCGCCCCAGCCCCTCATTGCGGCGTCCAGCGCCAGCCAAGGGCGCTTCCATCCCCATCCCGACGGGGTCCCCGTGCCCGGCCCCACGGAGCCAAAGGGGATGGGGAAGCACCGGAGATCCCCGCCCCCCCCCCCCCGGGGGGGTCATTGCGAGGGCACAGACGGGGGGAGGGGGGGACCTGTCCCGACGGGGACCGAAAGGAAGCGAAACATCCCCCCCCTCCCCCCCCCCCCCGCTTCCGCTGCACCCCCGCGGGGGGAGGAACAAAGAGAGGGGGGAGGGGGGGGGAGGGGAATTCCCCGCTCCCAAAAACCCCGGAAATTCCCCCAAAACAGCGCCCCACGGGGGGGGGGGGGGGGGGAGGGGGGATCCGCATCCATGGGGGGGTGATGGGCGCTGGGAAGGAGCAA